CCCCAGAACCAGCACTATTAACCATTCTGCTCTCTATCTCATAAAACAATCATATAGCATATTAAATATTCTATAACAATGTTTTAGGAACATCTTTTGCTACCTTATATACTGTTCTTTTTATGTAACCAGCATATAAACACATTTTACGTGCCAACTCAGATTTCCTCAGTCTCACCTGTCTCCCTAGTTCTTGGCTGCTGATTCTCCCCAGCTGCCTCCGCAGTACACTGTGGCCCAAGCTTCCTCCACCTCAAACTGACACCCCTGGCTCCTGCGACTTCCAGACTCCAGCAACTATAAGGCCTGGGGTCTGATTTTCCCAGCTCCACCTTAGTGTGGAGGAGGTAACTCCCCACAACTGAACCAGTGGGGGCCAGGAGATAGATAAATTCCCACTGCATCTCTCTCTCTGATGTTTTCCCCAAGCATATTTCTATCAATTCCGTCCAAAGAGTCCCACATGCCAAGCAAATGGCTTTGTCACTTTGAAGAAGCAGTGACCAGGCCAGAAATGTAAAACCTAGTATTTGCTTCATTCCTCCTGGTCTTCTTACCTTTTGGCCTCACTCTCATGGCCCTGGGATTGTGCCTGCCATACAGCATTCACGTTTAAATTTTTCCTTAAGGTCCATTTTATAGAGATCGCAGGGGTTCTGCCACCATAGGAATGATTTCTCTCAGATCAGAGGAATAGAAGCAACCATGTTTTCCCTGAATGATTGGAAGTGTAAAAATGTGAAAGAAATTGTGAATCACACAGCCAGTCAGACTTCAGAGAGACAAATGTGCAACCCATCTCCAGCAAGTGTACAAGACACTCCATTTTTTTGTGGGTGGGTTTCTGTACTGTAACTTTATATGTGGCTCTATTACTTTCCTTTCATTCTTCATTACTTCTTTTTAATGTTTTTTTCAATAGGTCACTTCAGATCTGTTATGGTTTAGATATGAGGTGTCCCCAAAAGCTCCTGTTAATGCAGGAATGGTCAGAGATGAAATGATTATAAGATAATCAGTTCACCCTATTTGAATGGACCACTTGGGTGCTAACTCTAGGCAGGTGTGACTAGAGGAGGTGGCTCACTGGGGGCATGCCCTGGCAGGGTCCATCTTCTCTGTGGCTCCTTCTCCTCCCATCTCTCTCTGCTCACTTCCCCCATGATGTTTGGCCCAGAACGATGGAGGCAGCCATCTAAGGACTGAGACCTCTGAAACCATGAGCCCTCCTTTAAATTGTTCTTTTTTTAATGTTTATTTTTTAGTTTTAGGTGGACACAATATTTTTATTTTATTTTATTTTTTTATGTGGTGCTGAGGATCAAACCCAGTGCCTCACGCATGCCAGGTGAGGGCACTACCACTTGAGCCACATCCCAAGCCCTAAATTGTTCTTGTTGGAGTTTAAGCCACAGCAATGAAAAAGCTGACTAACAGCTTAGGAACTGACTTCCTCAACAGTATTCCCAAAGCACAAGAAGTAAAATCAAGAATCAATAAATGGGATGGTATCAAACTCGAAAGTTTCTTCACAGCAAAGGAAACAATCAAGAATACAAAGAGAGAGCCTATAGAATGGGAGAAAATCTTTGCCACCTGCACCTCAGATAAAGCATTCATCTCTAGGAAATTTAAAGAACTCAAAAAATTTAACACCAACCTCCCCCCCAAAAAAACCCAAATAACCCAATCAATAAATGGGCAAAGGAACTGAAGAGGCACTTCACAGAAGATGAAATACAAATGGTCACAAATACATGAAAAAATGTTCAATATCTCTAGCAACTAGAGAAATGCAAATTAAAACTACACTGAGATTCCATCTCACTCCAGTCAGAATAGAAATTATGAAGAACATAAGTCTCTAAATGTTGGCAAGGATGTGGGGAAAAAGGTACACTCATACATTGCTGGTGGGACTGCAAATTGGTGCAACCACTTTGAAAAGCAGTATGGGAGATTCCTCAGAAAACTTGTAATGGAACCACAATTTGACCCAGTTATCCCACTCCTCAGTATATACCCAAAGGACTTAAAATCAGCATACTGCAGTGATACAGCCACATCAATATTTATAGCAGCTCAATTCACAATAGCTAAGCTAAGGAACCAACCTAGGTGCCCTTCAACAGATGAATGGATAAACAAAATATGATATGTATACACAATGAAATATTACTCAGCCACAAAAAAGAATGGCTTTATGATTTTGCTGGTAAATGGATGGATCTGGAGACTATTATACTAAATGAATAAGCCAATCCCCAAAGGACAAATGTTCTCTCTAATATGCTAACACAAAATAAGTTGGGCCGGGGTGGGGTAGAATAGAAATTAGAAAAAGGGGAATGAAGGGAACGGGAGATGGGAATAGGAAAGACAGTAGAATGAATTGGACACAGCTTTCTCATGTTCATATATGAATACATGACCAGTGAGACTCCACATGATGTATGGCCACAAGATTGGAATCCTAACTACAGTAAGTTATGTATGGAGTATGTATGCATAATATGTCAAAATGCACTCTACTATCATGTATATCTAAAAAGAACAACAACAAAAGAAAAAGCTGACTAAAAGAAACATTCATTGCAGTTTTGCTTAGCTGATTAAATCCTATATGACAATGTTTTATAAAATACATGATGTAATTTAAAAAAAGAAAAAGCTGATTAAAACAAAATCCTTTGTAGAATAAATTGGATGATAAAAAGGTAACTTGGTGTAATGAGAAACGCATGAATTCTAGGACCTAGGAAGGTCCTAGGTCTAATTCATGCTATTTCATTACCTACAAAACCAGACGTTTAGACTAGGTGTCTCTAGGGTTCTAAGTTTAACATTCACTGATTCATCAATGCTGACTTAACCACTGGAGCACACTTAAAGGCCAGGACTGGCAATGGTTCTGTTTCCATGGAAAATTCTGGACTAAGGAGATTACTTTTTAATACTTTTCCTTTAGGTCCATTTTATAGAGATCTAAAATAAATAAATAAGGTACTATTTTATACAAGTTTCACATTACTTACACCAGAGTTTTTTTTGGGGGGGATTGTGGTTAGATTCTGATTGATTATAAATGTAGGGGAGAACAAAGATCTATTAAACACCAACTCTAACCAGATAGTGTACTAAATGCTTTGTATATATTATGTAATGTTTTTCATTTCATGTCAACCCTAGGAAAAAGAGCCAGGAACTTTAAGTGACAAGGAATAAACCTCTCTACAGGTGCCAAAAATAGAGACTGAGATTCACTGAGTCAGAGCAAGGCAGTTTATAACACATGGCACAACAAAGGGCAGGGGCATTATCACCCTTGTGTTGGTTCTCCTGCCCCCAAGTACCCTGAGTAAAGTGATGAGCCCAGAAGGATGTTACCCAGATAGAGGTTCCACCAGAGCTGGGAACCAGAACCAAGGACCCAGAACTTTTTGAACAACAAACAGAAAATAAGCAGGTCCCTCTTCCTGTGGGAATGCAGCAGTCCCCCTGGTTAAGTGTGGTGGTCCATGAACCTGCTCGCTTGCCCATGCCTAATTACTGAAACTGCTCAGCATCAGGAGACACAGCACTACAAATACTGCATGCTACCCAGCAGACCTGTAAGATAGGTGCCATCATTATTATGTCTACTAATGAGGAAACTGGAGCAAAGACAACTCACACATGGCCAGGATTTAATTTCAGACAGTCTTGGCTTCTAACCCATAACACCAGGTTTCCTTTAAGGCATGATTTTTTCTGTATAGTGTTGCAGTGAGTTTTAAAACAGCAAAAAGACTTGAATTCTAATCTAGAGCTAGTGGCTATATGATCTGCAGAAGAAAATGTATTTCTGAGTCATATTTTTTTAAATAAAAAAATACTACCATCGTTCGGATTTGACATAATATGCACAAAACTTCTACCAGACAGAAAACACACAAATCTTGAGTTTTTCTCCCCTTAAACCTACTCTGATTAATTCTGACCATAATCATAGAACAATAAGAGGCTGAGATTATGAGAATAAATAAAAGGAAGATGATGAATTTCAAAAAGAAAACTCTAAACTCTATCCTTACCATTCTATATCAATATTTGTATTTCTCTACATTTGTACTCAAACATCTTTTGGGGTAGACAACATTGGTGTAAACAAAAGTTGTAGGTATTGGAGCTATTTTACCTTCTACATATCTTTCAGCTAGAATATGTAACCTCTCTAAACCTGTCTCACCTACAAAATGGGGATAATAATACCTACCTTGAAGTACTGTAAGCATTTTTGTTGTTGTTTTGTTTTCTTTTTAGTGGTGCAGGATTGAACCCAGGGCCTCATACACACTAGGCAAATACTCTACCACTGAACCACGTCACTGGTCCTTTTTGTTTCATTTTGAGACGGGGTCTTGCTAAGTAGTCCAGGTTGGCCTTGAACTCGCCATCCTCCTAAGGCAGCCCTCAGCTTCCAGATTGCTGGGATTATAGGCATGCACCACTGTGCCTGTCTACCATGAGGATTTAAATACGATAAATTACATGAAACATCCTAACAGAACATGGGAGAACATGTTTTGGTTCCCTTTTCCTCAGAAAGGTTTCCAAACTGTTGTGGAAGAGTAGGCACTAAAATCCATAAAAAGGCTGAAGATTTATGAATGACTGACACTAAGAGAAAAATCCACTGAACCTTGGGGTAAACATTTTCAAAAACTGGTGTAGACTAAAAATTACTGTGTCTTGTCAGTCTTCTTCAAAATTAATACGGACAATACTAAAATAACAACACCTACTGAGCCCTTAGCCCAGCAGTTTTAATCACCTTTACATTATCTAATTTTCACAACACTTTAAGGATGGCATTACTTTTTAGAGCCAGGATACAGCTGAGGAACAAAACCTCAGGGGGTTAGGACACTACCCAACACGTTGCCTCCAAACTCTTTCTGCTCTGTAATGCCTCGGGGAAAAAACACTGACGGCTCACTGCTAAATCTATCTCCTTAAAGATGCAAAAAAGCGATAGTCCCCCAAGGCAGCGTTCTCCAAGAATGGCACTGCGTTTCAGATCAAGTGAGTCAATTGCCCGAAACACTAAGATTATGGGAAAGACAAAAGTAATTGATACCTTACTCCTGGTAGTGCAATATTCCCCAGGTCCTTAATTACAAACGCAGGTCCACAGACCGAGCCGGCTCTCAGCTGGCGACGCAAAAGAACCACCAGGAGCCAGTCACACCGCGTTCTAGACTCGTCTACAACCAAGACAGTGCCCGACCCTCCTCGGTGCGTCTCACCTCCGCTTTTCTAGTCTTGCTCCTCCCACCTTAAAAATGGCCAAATGGGCATTCTAGTGTGGAGAACTTTCGGGGAGACGGAGGGCCGTGGCAGAGGCGCCCCGCAACACACGGATTCTGGGGGAGATAAAGAAGGAACTGCGAGCCCGGAACTAGCTCTCGGTGGTAAAAGGACAGAGTAAGCCGTCATTAGCTCAGCTGACGAGAGATCACGTCCGCTCCACGGGGAGCACAGCACCTCCCAGCCGCCCACTCCAGGCAGGGTCGCCAACGCGAACGCCCAGCGGTCTCCAGGACCCAGCCCTGCAGAATTCCACTCGGCTCTCCACCGGCCACCGACGCCTCGCCGCAGGTTGCTAGGAGACACTGCCCCCGCCACCTCCTCCAATCAGCACGCATTTCTTTTCGTCCAATCAGAGCAGCCGGGAGGACCGTGGTGAGAGGTGAAAGGTTGCGATGCTATTTGGCGGCCATTTCTCCCGGAGCTCCGTGGTTCGGGCACTCGGTTAGCTGCTCCAGTCACGAGGGACGGGTTACAGCTGGGTCGGCGGCGAGTCGCCAGCAGCATTCGCCGGTATTCGCGATGGTAAGGAGCAAGAAAACTGCCCGAGAGGGAGGGCGATCAGCCTCGCCGGGCCTGGTGGTGCTTCGCGCGCTTTCCATTCATCCGCGTGAGGCTCCGCGCACCGGGTTGCCCGCTTTTTCTCCCTGCTCTGGGGTGCAGATGCACGCCCTCCTTCCTATGCCCTTCCCCCACGAGATCCCCTGCCTCCTCCTGCCCCTTTGCATCCCGGTGTGAGCTATTCTGGTTGGTTGGGATTACAGGGTCCCGGTAAAACGGAAGCGGGTTTTTACTTCTCACCTGCAATACCCCGGAATCCGCTTTCATTCCTTGATACTGGGAATCCCAGTCTGTGCAGAAAAATATAGTTGCAGTTAAAGTAAGCGCTAAGAAGGAAGCAGACAGAATGCTTTGAGTGGTTACATTGGCTGGTCAGGAGTGGCCTCCTTAGAAGGTGAAATTTAACCTGGATAGCAGGAGGAAGAGTGTGCCAAGCACAGGGAAAAGGAGCATAGGCACTACGGCCTGAATGCAAGCTTGACCAAGTAGAAGAACTGACAGAAAGCTACCATTAACAACAAGAATAAGATTATATTAAGAGGTTGGATTCCACTCCGAGAGCAATTGGAAGTCATTGAAGCATTTTAAACAGAGATACATTGTTTGATATATGCTTTTAAAATACTGACTTCATGAATATTAAATTGGAGACCCTTTAGTAGGTTACTGCGCAGGTCCTCTGAGATCACGCTGAACCTGAGGGGTTTAGGAGCTAGGTTTTATGGAGATGATGGATAAAATGATGAGATGCTGTCTGAGGTCACTGGGAGTACTAGTGGTTTGTAGAATAAGTGAACTTTAAAGCGATTGCATTAAGAAACACTACTAAAGATAGAAAGTCAAATTAGCTCTCAGAATTAAAGTGAAAGGCTATCAAGCACAATCTGCCCCCTCGCTTTCTTCTGAAGTCTTGTATTGGGAGCTTTCACTGACAATACCATATTCTTATGTCTTCTTGAGATTAGCTTGTTTGACTTCCCTACTTTTACAAAGGTGGCCTTCCTTGTCTGGAACAGGACTTTTTCCCCCTGGAAATAACCTCATAACTTATTCTGGGCACCCTTTACATTTCTTTTCATCCCTGGATTGGTTTGGTACCCTTGTGCACAACATTGCAGTATTGCAATATATATAAATTTATGAATGATTTATGTATATGTAGGGCACATTGCAATATGCAATATAACTGTTTATCTTTACCACCACCACCCCCCCCCCCAAGAGGGCAGGGACTCTGTCTTTGTGTGTGTTTAGTGCTGTTACTTTGTTTCTTTAGAGCTTGGAACAGGAATATTGCAGGTATTCATTGTTTCTTAAGCACCTAATGAATATTTTTATTTGATGATTTGAAGGTGAAATTGGCTAACTGGATATTTAAATTTTCCTTATGCTTTTCAATAAATACAAATGAAAATAGGAATTCAAGAGTCTGCTTCATGTGGATATATGAAATATTGATAATTTGTAGAGTAGATGATGGAAGCTGAGCTAAGGGAAAAGAATCAGTTAAATCTTTTTTTTGTTGTTGTTCTTTGCACAGAGTTTACCCCTCAATCCCAAACCTTTCCTCAATGGATTAACAGGAAAGCCAGTGATGGTGAAACTCAAGTGGGGAATGGAATACAAGGGCTACCTGGTATCTGTAGATGGCTATATGAACATGCAGGTAAGCTAAAGAGTTATAAAGTTCATAAAATTTTATTTATAATTTTCTTTGCCTTATTTCTCAAGAAGTTTCTAAATTTCTTTGCCTTATTTCTGATGTGACTAATAAGAGTACTTACAATTAAGTCGACAAACATAAGCAAAATTCAAGAATAAAATAAAGGTTAGGGAGAATGTCTGTGATATACTAGGTGAAAGACATGGGATTAAATCAAAATTCAGCCACAGATTTTACTCTTAATAGTTACAAAGTGAGAAGCACTTTGATATTTGAATCAATACTATTAGGGAAGCACACTAGTTTACTTTAGGAAGCAAAATTTTTCAGCTCTGAAATAAAATTTTAAAGTGAAATTCTTGAATCTTTTAATAAGGGCTAAAGGCACAACACCAAAGTAAACCAATAAAAGCACTTCTTCATTGAAAATATAGATCAGCCAGGGGAATTGATAACCTGAATACTTGTCTGTTAAATTATTTTCCATAAATGATTTAACCAGGGTTTTGTTTTTTTGGGGTTTTTTTGTAATTTAATTTTTTTAAAATATTTTTTTAGCTGTTGATGGACCATTATTTTATTCATTTACTTGTATGCAGTGCTGAGAATCTAACCTAGTGCTTCTCACATGCTAAGCAAGTACTCTACCACTGAGCCACAACCCCAATTAATTTTTTAATTGCAGTAAAATATATATTAGAAATTAGCCATTTAAAGCATTTTCAAATATATAATCAAGTGGCATTAAATACATTCATTGTTATATAGCTATCACCATCATCTATATCTAGGACTTTTTCATCTATACCCGTTAAAAAAATAACCCGTCATTCCTCTGTCCCCCTGCCCAGCCCCTGCTAACCACTGTCTTTATACAATTTAGTCAGCCCTCTGTATCTCTGGGTTCCATATCTATGTTTGCAGATTCAGTCAACTGCAGATTGAACATATTTTAGGGGAAAATTGAGTCTGTACTGATTATGTACAGACATTTTTCCTTGTCATTATTCCACAAAAAAACAGAGTATAATAACTATTTACATTGTGTGAGGTATTATAAGTAATCTGGAGGTGACTTAAGGTATATGTAAGATATGCAGAATATATGGAGGATATGCATGTTATATGCAAATTCTAAGCTTATGTATGGGACTTAGGCATCCTCAGATCTGTGGCAGGTGGATTCTGGAACCACCTCTGTAGATTCCAAGGGACAAAAGTATTTGTCATTTTCTGTTTGGCTTGTTTCATTTAGCTTAATACATTTTTTGTGACTAATAGTCCACTGTATGGATATATCACATTTTAATTCTCTGACCTATAGATGGATACCTCGGATATTTTCACCTTTAGCTGTTTTGAACTGTGAACTGGATGTATAAATATCTGTTCAAGTCTTGTTTTTTTGGGTACACATCCAGAAGTGGAATTTATGTTTAATTTCTAGAGGAATTACCATATTGTTTTCCACAGCAGCTGCATGCATGGTTTTGCATTCTTATCAGCTCTGTATAGGGGTTTGAGTTTATCCATATCCTTGCCACCTATTAATTTTATGAGGTTTATTTTGTGTGTGTGTGTATACACTAATATGCATATTTGTATATGTACATTTATATGTATATATATATATGTGTGTGTTCATCTATAGCTATCTTAATGGATATGAAATGATTTATCATTATGATTTGCATTTCTTTTTGGGCACTTTTTCATTTGTTTATTGGCCTTTGTTTATCCTTGGAGAAATGCCTAATTGTGTCTTTTGCCCATCTTAATTATTTTTTATTTTTGGTCATGTTATTTAGCTGTAGTTTCCAACAAGGTTTTTGAATGTTTCTTAGATGTGGTGAGTCTAAGTACTAAGCCACATCCCCAACCCTAAGTATTCTATTCTTATAAATAGTCCTAGCAGGAGTACTTAGGTAGGCAGAGCTAAGGTTTTCCTTAAACGTATACCATCTGAATAGGTGATGGTAAGAGCCTCAGAGTTCTTATAGGGCATGATTTGGTCTGGAAAACTCTTGAAACGGAAGTCATTTACCAAAGCTATAGAAAAGTCCAAAAAGCATACCCATTATAATGAAACATTCTGGAATTAGTGATGTTTGTTGCACAACTTTGTGAATATACCGAAAACAACTGAGTTGTACAATTTAAAAGAGTGTTTTATGTTACGGAAACTATACTCATTAGAAAAGAAGAATAAATAATATCATCATTTAATATTTGGTCTTGGACTTAATGTAGCTTCCTAGTAAGCCTGCTAGAAACATGAATCTGAACCATGTTGATATCAGCTTTTGAGTTTATTCACTCACTAAAAATTTTATTGAGTACCCATTATTTTTCTGATATTGTAAATGAACCAATAAATAAAACAAAGTCCCTATTCTGAAAAGTTTGTTTTAGTGGTGAGAGATGATAATGTAATATAATATCAGGTATTATAGACACTATAAAGAAAAAGCAGAAAAAGGGTGACAGAGCATGCCATGTTAGATAGGATAGTGTCTCTGGGGAAGTGAATGAAGCCAAGATCAGAATTAGCAACTCAAATAGCTAGGGAAAGAGCATCCCAGTTTGAGCCAAGAGCAAATCTCCTGTGGGCAAGGGTGTGTTTGTTGTATTCAAAGTACAGTAATAATGTCAGAGCAGAGAAAGAAAGTTAGGTTGGAATAGTAGCAATGGAGAGCCTTGTAAGCAGCGGTAAGAGCTTTGAATTTACTAAATGATGAAAAGCCTTTGGAGCATTGTTGTGTAATATAGAAACTAAATGTTGGAGAATATGCTAAAAATAATCATCTTTTTAAAAAATTGCTCTCAATATTTTGGGGGGAGGGTACTAGGGATTGAACTCAGGGGCACTCGACCACTGAACCACATCCCCAACCCTATTTTATATTTTATTTAGAGACAACATCTCACTAAGTTGCTTAGCACTGTGCTTTTGTTGAGGCTTGCTTTGAACTCACGATCCTCCTGCTTCCCCATCCTCTGGGATTACAGGCAGGTGCCACCATACCCAGAGCTCTTAATTATTTCTGATAACTGTTATGTGTAAATGAATTGTCTCAACAGCCATATGGTTCAAATGAAACCATATTCTCTGAGTACAGGGGGTTATTTGTTGCTTTTTGTTTTCTACAAGAGAGGCAGTAATATCTAGCAATAGGATTACTTCATTAAAATGTCTTAAATCCCTTGTTACATATTCTCTTAAAACCCTATTTTTCTTTCCCTTGCCCACTTGTAGAGGAAACTACTTCTCTCTGTTCTTATTCCTTTTGTGAGCTTTAGTTGGCCCTGGTGGTGATTTTTTTTTTTTTTTTAATTACAAGTGAAGTATATAACCTATAAGTAGAAAAAAAAATCTAAAAATTTTGATTTAAAATTAGAAATATGAGTTCCCTGAAATAACTGCAAAGGTCATTCCTAATTCAACTCTTTAATCTCAACAACTTGTTTTTCCCTGTTTACTAGTAAATAAATTATTTTCAAAATTCTTACTCAATTCTTTGATTATATTAACCACAGCATTTGTATACCCATTTGAACATCTCAGTATGATTTATAATGTTATTACTCTGAGAAAAGTTAATGTCTGCTACTTTAGAACTGAATTTTCTGAAAACTTATAAATTACAACTTATAAATTGGAGAGTGCCTTCTTTGATTATACTCTTTTGATATTTAATAGAAAGAAAGAAATAGGAAGAAATACTACATAACTTGAAAGTTTTAACAACTTCTGTTGAAACAAGCTTTATTACATATTAGTTCCACATTCATGAATGTTAATTTTATTGACTGTTTATAGAGAAACCAAAAAGTACAGTAGTGATAAAAAGGCCATCTTCTAATTATTAATTATAGGTAAATTTGAGTTGTTGGCATAGAAAGGTCTCAGTTAATAAGTTCTCTCACCAGTATTAGGTGTGTTACAGTGTTTTCCTCCTATGCAACTAAACTAATATATTTCTTTTTATTTAAAGCTTGCAAATACAGAAGAGTACATAGATGGAGCATTGTCTGGACATCTTGGTGAAGTTTTAATAAGGTAATAAACAGCAGTAGTATATGTAAGGAGTTGGTGGTGAGCATTAGAATTAGCACCTCAATTTGAATTACTTTGTTTTAATCACTTAATTTAACATAATATTCTACAACTAGACTTTGATATTGTTAAAATTTGTCAAAGGTAAGATTTAAATACTTCAGAGCTATTCATCCTCAAGTTTTTTCTAGTGTTAATATTACATTTACTGGCTCATAGATGTAATCTTTTTCATTGACTTTAGTTGCAGGAACTTAGTTTTGAATTTTAGTTAAGTCTGGTTGCTAAAAGATTTTTGGTGTACTCATTTTCTAGTACTAGCAAGCCTCCAAATTCTAGTAATTATTTTATGAAAATGTCATTAAGACAAACACATGGTAAAAAAATAAGTACCATAATTAAGCAGGCTTTTTAACAAATCTAAGTGAAACTTTTTTTTTTTTTTTTTTAAGAGCAAGAATCATAGTAAGTAAATTTAGCATGCAGTATTTTCATAATGAAAAAATCTAGCAACAGTATTTCAGATCATACAATTTTTGGTTGAAATGACTAAATGAACTGTTTCTATTTACAGGTGTAATAATGTCCTTTATATCAGAGGTGTTGAAGAAGAGGAAGAAGATGGGGAGATGAGAGAATAGCACCTTTCATGGGGATTTCTTTATATATATTTCTAGACAATAAAGACTTGTTTTTGTTTTTCAGCTTGACTTGTGAACTATTTATATGCAGATATTTACATGCATAGCTCAAATGTTGAAATAGTTGAAAGTTGATTCACAGAACTAATGCTTTAAAAAGCCACCAAACTTTATATTCCAAGTTGGTTTTCTTCTATAAGCCCAATGCTATTTTTTTTCTATAAGGGATAATTATTTATATACTTCAGAATTTTTTATGAAAGTGAATTTCAGCCCTTTTCTTGTTATATATTAACGGACCTTTTAAAGCAAAGTTTTTGAGCCACTTAACGTGTAAAGTTAAACATTTTCTTAATATAGACTATTATTTAATAAAACAGTGTTAATTCTGTATCAATGTAAGCTAAATAATGCACATATTATAGCTGAACTTGAAACATCGTCTGAAAATTACAATGAATGGAGATAGGGCACAACAGAAATCGTGATCTGACATTTAGGTGGGAGGCATATGCTTTGTTCATTTAAGAGAATAAAGTTTTCTGAACAGAAATTCATATGAAACAAAAAATCAGCCTCATGGTTATATTCTGAGACCATAATCTAGTAGATTTCTCTTAAGTTTTAAACCCCTCAAAACTTCTCATTTGTTTTAGTTTTACATTGTTAAATGTATATTCTGTAGTAATAACAGTATGCTATGTGCTTCCCCATAGATATGTTGAGAAAATACATCATTTAAATTCTCATTTTGTCAGAAACGAGCCATTATTATACTTTAATAGTAATTCAACTAACTAATTTGGGATATGTATCCTCAACTGAGACCATTCAAAATATAGATATAAATGTTTAGCTATATAAAACAATGTGAATAATAAAAAGCTACAAAAATTCTCATTCCTACTACCATATCCTATAGAATGTGACCCTACCTTCCTTGAATTGATTAGGACATTATGTGGGACAAGATTTGCCATTAATGAAAGCCAAAATCTATAAAATTTATGTAAAACATTCTGGTAATAAAATGTCTTACTGCTCCTATTCAACCAAAAAAATATTCTTCCTCCAGTGATTTTGTTCTTGTATCTTTGATGAAAATTAGATCATGTTTGCTACCAGATGGAGGTTGTGAACGAAAGGTAAGTCGTCTTCCCATCTGAAACAAAAGAAAAACTACTTAATGTTCTGTAGCATAACCATTTTCTGTTGGAATATGTAAAATGCTAATATAAACTAGATTTATATTGGAATCATGGAATACTGTGGTTTAAAATGCTAAATAATCATAGTTAAAAGGCATTCATAACATAGTGGATGTTCAGCATATTAGGCAAAGTTAGTAGCAGAATGCAGAAGTCAAAGTGATAAGGATTTATAGGGAGTGGGAAGATTTGGGTAAAGCCATCAAACAGCATGTGGTTCCAATATGGCCATCCTAGAAAAAGTACCATGTTGGAGGCCAACATTTCATTTTTAACTAAGTGCCACAGCACTTCATGCTTCCTCTGTGGTTAGACAAGATTGCTTTCTTGCCCATCATTTAGAAATCTTTTTGAACAAAAATTTCAGAAAACTGTGTGCTATCTTCTTAAACACCAGTGTTATTGCTGGTTTTTGGAGATGTTACCACCAGGAGAGGTTTAGGGAAAATTTGAGTTCTAAAAAATAACAACCAGAGTGAGATGAATTGAAACTGAGAGCAAGAAAGGTAATTTCACTGGAATTCAGCCTGGATAAATTAGAAGAGTAAGGTATTTTATTTTTGTACCACAGAGGCATTCACGTACTGATACAGCTGGACTTGTTAACAGCAAAACACAAACCTTTTTCTTTGGTTGTGCTACAGCTCTTTCCAGAGCAGCTTTTAGCCTTTCTTCTTGGTACTTTTGTTTTTCTCTCATTTTCTCTTCACGCAACCTGTCACAGGAAGGGAAGAACATTCTTGCATAAAGTACTCTAAAGTCCACAGAAAGTAAAGATATATACATAATTACTATTTGGCAATGAATTGTCTAAATATGAGATTCCCATAGAATGACTTTTGGCGGGCTAGGGTTGTGGCTCAGTGGTAGAGCCCTTTCCTTGCACTTGTGAGGCACTGGGTTCTGTTCTCAGCACCACATATAAATAAATGAATAAAATAAAGGTCCATCAACAACTACCAATAAAAAAAAGATGGCTTTTGAATGTTCAGGTAGATATGAAGAAGAAATCCTATTTACAAGTGGGAAGAAATTCCATTTCCTCATTTTGGAACAAGTAAAATCTACCTAGACCTTGGTCTAAAAGCCAAGCATTCTCAGCATTCCACTATTATTGCAGCACTTTCTGAACCATAGCCACTTAAATTAACTTCCAGCTATCCCTTGTCTATCTTTTAAAACCTTTTTACTTAAGTATAACATCAAGAAGACTATATAGATCACAAGTGTATATAATTCGATGTACACCACAAAAGTGTGATATTCTTGAAATAAGACCAATAAATGTTATTTATCTTACTCTCTTAGGGTTTTTGTGAGGAAAAATATTCAAATAGAAATAGTCTAGTACACAGCTTGGTGCAGAATAGGCACCAAGTGCTAGTTGCTTTATGAACTTGTATGATTGTATCCAAAGTGTAAGACGATATACTGATATATCTGTATATAAACTTGACATACAAAACACTTTTTAATCCAGAATTGGGTGTTATGCTAGGTACTTTGAAACCATGGAGAAAATCAAGTAAAATCATTATTAATACAAATGAAAATAATTGGAATTTGATTTGTGTATCACTGCTGCAAGTAAGTTGTAATTGCACTTTAAAGAGAATACATTTGCTACTGTAGAGAACATGCATAGTGAGGTCACCTTAGAGAAAGTGATCCTCCATTTAGATTTTCATGTTTGCTTTATAGTCAATAAGATCTCATTAGGTTCACCTTAATATATTCTAGACTTCACTTTTATATGGGAGAAACAATATTCCCCATACACCAGTAATGTAGTACATAGTAGAAAAAAATCTAATATTAATGACTATATTAGAGAGCTTACTATGTGCCAAGCATGTTTGCTGCTTTTGTATGGATTGATTCTCACATCAACCTTGTAAGTACCATTATTACTGCCATTTGACAGATAAACAATCTAAACAGAATATACTGCCTGCCTAATATCGCAACATTGTAAACAGTTGGATCTGAACTGAACCCAACAGCCAGGCTTCATGGCCAATGCTTGGAGTGGTAGTACCATCCTGCCTCCCAGTGTGCTTTTTGCTACATGAACATTATCCCACTTATAAACATTCCTACATGCCACTGTACACAGGCAATATTGCTATAATAATCAATGCATCAACAGTATGTACTTAAAATTCTTATTTAACTTGGTGTAGAAATCTGTAAATAAGCGTGTTTTCCTGAAAGGCCCCAATTGGATAGGGGGTTGAGGGTTTCAGGGACAGGCCTCATGAGGTTGTTTTGAGAAATAAATGAGTTACTGGGTAAGTGTTGGCAGTTATGCACTGAGGGAAACCCTACTTGTGTGGCTGGCTCTGACTTTTTCAAGCAATTCTTTCCTAAATTATCTTCCTATAGTTTTCCAATGAAAGGCTCCTAATTCTGTGCCTTGTGTCCTTTACCACAAGTACAGTTCTTCCACATGACAGCTCTAAAGAAATGTTCAGAGTACTTCCTGTGCAGATCTTCTGTGAAGATTCGTGTTTCCATGCTCAAAGGACCCACTTGCCCATCCCAAACTGTCCCCCGGGGTTCTTTCCTTCATAGTGCTCATTACCATTGGTAATAAGAACTTCTATTTCCTAAGAATTTGTGATGTAAGTGTCTCCCACACCAAATAATAGTTCTGTGAGGTTGGTAAGGCTGGATTTGACCCCTCCAGTGCATCTCTATGTGGCATCCTTGCCATTTGAGATTTGCTCAATGTACGATCCAAGCAAAAGCAGTCTCTCATTAACAATATACTCATAGGCAGTGACTATACTTTTGTCGCCGTTCCTTCTGTTTTATCCTCTCGATTGCATCCACACTTTCTTTGGGGATGGATTCGATGAGGTCGCTCAGTTCCACCAGGCGAGACTCTACTTTGACCAGCTTTTGAACTGCATTCAGGCTGCCAACCTCAGCATCTCCAATGCAGACTTTATATACTTGATTAATTTTTTTACTAAGTGAATCTATCAGTTTTTCCTGAGATTGAAAAGAAAAGAAAGCAGGAAACATCACATCACTATTTGGTTGCTCATTTGATAAAATCAAATTCCATTTTACTATGTTACAATGAAAAATCCTTCATATACCAGTATGTATATCTTTCTATTCTTTATTGGTGTTGGGGACTAAAAGGTATGTTCTACACACCCCAGTCCCTCGATGTTTTCTTTTTATAAAGGAAAATCAGTGAGAAAACGCAGCAAGGATATTTATATCACAATATATAGTCAGATCATCATAGCAACACTTTGGATTTTCTCAAAATACAGTTAGATATAAAAAGTAATCATTCATTTTGCCACATGCATTTTTATTCTATCATTCTATTTTAATGGCTAAAACTATAATCATTCTGACAGTTTATTTGTATATACCTTATCTCCCCCTTCTAGACTGCAAGCAAAGGCAGGAGCAACTTCTTACGCTTACACTTGTATTTAAAACAGCACTGTGCACAGCACTATACACTTAATGTTTGCTGAGTAAATGAATGCATTCTCTCTCGCAAGCAAAACAGATTCCTAGGCTGCTGGCCTACCAGAGCTCTTTTAGGAGATTAATTTCTATGCTTGTCATTGGGAAGCTATTGCCATATTCCAGTCTAAATAAGCTTAGGCCAAACCTTGCTGATCCCTGTACTTCACCACTGTGCCATTTTAACTGTTAGTAGAGATAGATGCTTGAGTTGGTTGGTAACTTGTTTTAGGACCATAAGATAATTGTCCTCCTCCTTCTCCACCATTAACCTGGGACCTCAAGAAACTGCTGGGCAAGGTAAACCACTCTCTGGGTAGCCTCCTGCCCCAAATCTCACTTCTGCTCAAGAAGATGAGA